TCAGCTATTTTTATATCGAGGGAATCTTAAAGATAAAGAGGTAAACTAATGAATACAAAATGAAATTGTTGCATAAAATTTACATTTGATTGACGCTTAGTACAGACTTCCCTTTGATTTTTTTCAGTTCATAGTTCTTTCAGATTGCTGGGTATCGTGCTTCGGCATAAAAAACGAGGCCGAACAGTAAAACACAAATGTTTTTTATTATACCGAACAGTATTTTGGGCGCCACCCTGTACCAGGCATATGCGAAAGGAGCTAGTCTAGCAGTTTTCCCGGTTCGACGCCGTAAATTTCATTGTCCGTGATCAGTTTAAAGTGTCGGTAGGAGGGTGGTTTTCCAATTCTCGGCTCGGCGAACGCTCAATAATGTGCGAACTAAAGCGAGGGTGGGGACGGCGTTGTTCTGGTTGCAAGCTTCGTTTGGTATCTTCTCTCTCGGGAGCCCACTTAACCTCAACCTCTGCACCTTTATGTGTGCTCCATAAAGACATGAATTGCGGGTCCCGGGAGGACGGCCTCCTTTGTACGGCCACATTAAACCATTTAAATTTTGTCGCAATCGCGCGACATTTCTTAGCGGGTAATTTTCCGCCGTTTGCAAATGATTATCGGCGGCCGCCCCCCCGGGTTTGGTAAATACGCGCCGAAATAGGAAATCGGGGGCCTGATGCACGACGACGGGAAAACTTGGAGCCCCGCTTTATTTTGATTTAGCTTCTTATCACGCAAAACATATATATACATTTCAAATGGAATATTACGTATTTACAGCAGGTTTACGATGTCGTTCATTCATTTAAATCAATTTATTATTTATAACGATTATTGAGGAGTTGCTACAGAGCCTTCATAAATGTTTACAAGTCACGTGACCGCCAATACTCGATTGGTATTATTAACGAAAATTCCCTAAATAGTAGAGCACCAATGTTAATGATTCGTTTACAATGAACAATGACAATCCGTAACGTCTACGCTAGAGACCGACCGAATGTGATATTTTTGGTCGAAGCCGAAGCCGAAGATATTTTTATGAACTTGAAAATTTTAATTAAAAACAAAAATATGATAAGATAACAAAAGTAGGTCAAAAATAAATGCACAATGTTTTGGAAATATAATTTAAATAATAAACAATAATAAATAAAACAACAAATTCTAATAATAAACATAAAACATAACGGGTAACGGGTATTCTAAAAAAATATAGAAAAACAAAAAGCATGACTATCGAATGGCGATGCGACGGTCGACGGTCGACGTCAACGGCTTCGGCGAAAAGTTCGGCTTAAATTTGGCCGAAGCCGATTCTTAGCCGAAGGCTTAAATAATGGCCGAATGTGGCCGAAGCCGATACCGATTTCATCGGTCGGTCTCTAGTCTACGCGAGATAGCGATCGCTGATTGGCTAAATAGTATCTCGTGAAAAATTACCCTGTAATCTTGATCTTACTGTTTTAGTAATTTATAATTGTAGCGAAATTTAATGACCAACATGAAGGAAATAAAATTATTGTTGCAAACAAAATTACGAGTCGTGGTTCTATACAAGGTTCATAAACATCACAGTTAATAGAATATAAAAAAAATTATATTTTTCCGTTTGGATCATGATGTATAAAAAACGATCAGTTTTAAAAGAAATTATTCCATTTTATCTAATATATCATAATTTTTTAAGAAAATAACATTGTATTAAAATAAATTAGTCTCAATCGGTTTATTATCACCCGAGAAAGCTATCTTCGAAGTATGGCTGATTCAGATCGCCCTGTATACAACGGAGTAAACGCTAGTTGGTTTGAGACGGACTATTGCGTTTTTTTTCCAAAAAAATTACGCATTTTCAGCGACTTCAACGAAAGTTTATATTATACAGGGTGTTTTGTACCTGCAGGTCTCTGGAGTTCAGATACGGTGATCTATATAAGAACCGAATTTGAAACGTTCAAGCAAAAAATCTCGCGCGGGAGCGAGAGCGATATTCATGAGCATGCGCGGGTCCGGCGCTCCTTCTCCCGCATTCAGGTCGTTCATTAATGTTACCTTTTACTGCTGCTAGCGCGTTTATTACATCAATGTAAAACTTTCTGAAAATACAAGTTTGACCCTTTTTTTTAATTGTCTCTAAAATCCTGGTCAGATTATGTCCAATAGTTTTTTTAAATTACCGTAAAAATAAGCTCTATTTAATTCAAAAAGAGCGAATTCCCGAGCGGCCTTTGCCTGACCCTGGCACAGTTTGTTTATAACGCTGTTTTGCATGTACTACTTTGTTAGTTGTAAATGGCACTTAATTTCAACTTTTTGAAATTTTTCTTTTCCGATACGTTTCTTTGGATCAATTAGAACCTATATTTACGATATTAACGTCTAAAATTACCGTTTAGTAATTAGTTGCAAAAAAACGAAGGGAATTAATTAACAAATACTTAGAGCAACAATTTTACTGCCAATCAAATCGGTGTTCGGCACACATGTTGGTCATTGGATTTGACCGTCTTTTCCATAAATTTCATCAAAATTGATCGCTTTTTGCGATAATAATGCGCAATTGTCGAAAATTGATCTTTCCGCGTTCAACCTTTATTTTACAGTTAACAAATTGGTGAAATATGACTTTCGTATCTTACATTGTAGGTAATTTAATTGCCTAAGTCTAGAACATAAAGTAAATAATTTTGCTATAGGTTGTCTAGATTTTCATAGGCAGTAAGGAAAGTTAAAAAAACACGTAATTTTGACACTTATTTGCCAACTAAGGGCCGGTTTTTCAATCTGTGGTAAACTAATTGTTACTTTTTATATTGGAAATGCCATAGATTAGTAAAAAAAAAAATAAAAACGAATTTATACATTCATTGTTTGTTAAAAGCTTGCATGTTAAAAGAAAATTATTGCTTCTCCACTAAAACATAAGAAAATAAAGTGATGGCTAACCTTAAGTTAGGAGTTAACCATGGATTGAAAAACCAGCCCTTAGCGTCACTTCTTTTGGATTAGTTTTTTGATATTATTATTCTACAGTGTGTCCCACTTAAGCATTAGCCACCCATGCAAAATTGTTATTTATTGATTTTGATGATTATTATTATTTGTTTCAACTTTTTTTTGTTTGACAGATCTCAGAAAAAGAGGTAGAATGTATTTCGGTATTTTCGTGGTCTAAGCCATGGCCAACTGAGACGCGTTTTATAGGAGGAAAAAACGAGAAGTAATATTAGCGATTTGTTTTCGACAAAAACTGCAACGGATTCTTATTGAGGACTATCTAAAACCCTTCTATACCAATTTTTGTCATGATAGAATACAGGGTGTTGCAGAAAACCTTAATTTTTTTAAATCAACTGAAACACATGCATTATTAGAATATTGTGTATCAGTATTATTCAAATTAGTAATAAACGAAACTTATTATTATGATTTAACACTTTTCAATACGTCGACGACTATTAATTGTTACTTTTCGTAACTGTTGCCTAGTAATGTTACGGCATGCGTCTGTAATACGTTCACAAAATTCTTCTCGCGTTTGGGGCCTCGTAACATAAACTTTGTTTTTAACAGTTCAGATCAGGAGACCGCAGTGGCCAATGAATTAAAGGGCTGTTACGTCTAACCCATTGGTTGAGAAAATGTTCATTCAGCCAGTTTCTCACTAGGATTGAATTATAGATAGGTGCTCCATCTAGCTGTAGGTACATGTAAATTAAGGCGACCATTTAGAGGCAAGTCATCGGTTTTGTCCATAAGTTTATTTTGTAGGAATATCCAAAAACCATCCGCATTTAAATTACCTTCAAAATAGTTAAGGCCCAATGATTTTTGGATTTAAAATGCCATACCAAATATTCACCTTAGCGGAATACTGCCTTTTGCATTGTATAACCCAATGCGGATTTTCTTCACACCGCATTCTAATATTTTGCGAAGAAACAATAGATATTTTTCAACAGAAACAAAATTCTATTCTTCTTTCTCTGTCTCTTTTTTCTAGACTGTGAAGAAATTTGGTTCCTCTAATTTTTTTTAAACATCTCCAAATTCGATTTCTAGACATATTTAATCTAACGCTGGCATCTCTAATAATCGACCGCGGATTTTCATTAAAAGAGTTAAGAATTATTTGGTTTATTAGAAGCACACGATTATGATGTTGGTTGGGCATTTCACTTACACTTCCAGTTTCATCAAAAACTCTATTAATAGTCGTAACTGTAAAAAAAATAGTAACAATAATAATAATTTGAATAATACTGATACACAATATTCAAATAATGCATCTGTTTCGTAAATAAACCTTCAGTTGGTTTAAAAAATTAAGGATTAATTTTCTGCAACACCCTGTATTCTATCACAACAAAAATTGGTATTGGTGGTAGGGTTTTAGATAGTGCTGAATAAGAATCCGTTGCAGTTTTTGTCGAAAAAAAAATCGCTAATATTACTTCTCGTTTTTTCTTCCCATAAAACGCGTCTCAGTTGCTTAGATCACGAAAATACCGAAATTATACATTCTACTCCTTTTTCTAAGATCTATCAAACAAAAAAAAATTGAAACAAATCGGTCAACAAATAACAATTTTACATGGGTGGCTATTGCTTAAGTGGGACACACTGTTTATAACCTTCCCCGTCATGAAGTGTAATAAAATGTCTATTTATAATTTTTTCACGTTCAAACTCTAATTCGACTATGACATTTTGGGACCTTAATACTACCACCAAGTTTGTTGAGATAGGTTTAATATTTTATGAGTTGTATGGAAAAACTGAAAAAAAGGTAATTTCTTACACAGTGAAAATATTTACAATTTTAAGGAGTACTAATCTCTGGTGAAAAATTGAAACCACCCTGTATATAAAAATCGTTATATTGAATAAAGTAAAGGGTTTTTAGGAAAGTTTAAGATTTTAATTTGATTAAAATGTTTGTAACATTTCAGTTTGTTTTGTTTGAAGCCGCCATTAACGACTTCTTTCTGTTGTTGCAGGTGTGATATCAGCAGGAGTCTCCGTGCCCGTGCAGATCCCCAGCCAGTCGTCGGACCTGGCCTCTAGTTACTGGCCCCGAATTCAGTGATCTCAACTCTTCGGTTTTCCGCCGCCGAGCCTGCTCGTGCCCCAGGAAAACCCGACCCTGCAAGCGACCCTCACGCCCCCTATCGTCGCCAGTTCGCCGCCCGAGGAGACATCCTAATGGTTAAATATGGCGGTTCTGCTTTACCCACCGAACTTTCACCTTCACCTGTCGTGACTCGACAGGCACCTGTCGACTTCAAAGCTACCTGGACGGTCTCATGAGTTCGTATACCGGATTGCAGGGTACACTGTGAATACTGTAAATAGACTTGGGAAATCAATTTTCCGCGGGTTGTAGAAATATACCTATGAAGATGCGTTTTGGTAAAACTTAATATAAATAGATTGCTAAAGTTAACAATCGTTCCATGTGAATGTTAAGTATTTCTCACCTGCAGACTTGGTGTAAATAATTTATTTACGAGTAAAACGTCACTTAATGTACAATAAACATACCTACCCGTTCCGGTAATTCTGCAATAATTTATTTAAAACAATAAGATCTTTAAAAGCGGGATACATCCATATTTGCCTTACCCGAAGAAAGGTAGCATACGAGTTACAATAATTTTGGGTCCATGTCACAAGTTTTGTATCAAAATGACCCCTCTAAAAACTCTGTAAAATATGGAGTTTCCTCTTTTTAAACGACCCGCCATTTTATAGCAATAACTGTATAACTTACCTAATTTAAGCCATATTTATTACAAATAAATAATGGATATGTGTACCAACTGTGTTATATTCTAAAGAGATATGATTTAGGCACATGTTTTTAGTTCCTAAAAGACGCAATGCTTTTTTCTTTTTTATAGAGTGTATAGTGATATTTAAAAGTATTAATAAATGTTGTGTAAATTATTGTTGCTGTGATTAATTTAAAAAAATAATAATCATATACCTACAGTTCTCGTAGAATAGTATATATTTCTGTGTAGTTGTGTAAAAATTAAAGTTTGTGGAATAATAAAAGTAATTGTCAGAAACTAATTGTGTTTATTATTGCCCAAATTAACAGGTGTGTCTCATCTAAATTTAAATTCAGTGCACCGCGAACGTGTTCTATTCACTTTAATATTCAGGTAGGTGCAAACAACAATTTAATATTTTCTACCCAACAACTAGTCTAAAACAGTGGCGGCTAAGCCTTCTCTGCAGCTTTTGATAGTATTGCAAAAGTTTTCTTTTAGTTTTTTTATTTTACATCAAATAATTAATATTTAAGAAATATTCATACAAATCTATTTTCATATGCAACTAATTATGTATCTACTAAGGGAGATCTCGAGTACGTAAATATACGATTTTTAAATGTTCACTATTTTTCGCTCCCTCAGAATTGGCATTATAGTCACTGACAACTAACTTTCTCAACCCTCCAGCGTTTACCAGTGTTCTATATTGTGCGTGACCTTGAAATAATGTTACGATATCTAAATTCGAGCTAAACCAGTCAAGCACGGAGGCTTGTTGCCACCTTTCATCTCTTTTTAACAAGCGAATCTTTCAATATAGCCCTTCTTCTCTACGGCGATCGTAGTTATATGTTGCAATGTTGCATTTCCCATTTTATAATAAAAACATTAGTCGTCTGTGAGTACACGCTTTTTTGTTTTTAATTGGTGTTTATGTGAAGTCTTTCTTAAGAATTTTTGTGAGACGATCATAATTAATTAGTAAAACAAGCATTTACATTTTACTTTGGTACGTACTAAACTTTATTTTTAATACATATAAGTATATAAGTATATTTTAATACATATAAGTATATTTATTTATACCTATACTTATACATATACAGGGTGATTCAGAACTTATCCAAAAAAAAAAATTCTGGATGTACAGGGGACCCTTACAAATACAATTTTGTAAAGAAAGGGCAGTTCGAAAATAATTTAAAAATACACTTCTGCACGGCGCTAGAGACTACAGTTGTCCAGCTATGTAGTGGTTGAATGTACTATAACTTCAATTTTTTTTTCTAGGAAGCTATAAGGATTTTACACAAATTTTTTTTACGATATTGATTCCATTTCTCATGCTGCATCTATTCCCAAATTTTTTTGGATAAGTTGTGAATCACCCTGTATAAGTAACCATTGTGCATAATTAATTTATTCGAATTTCTTTTAGTTTTTCTACTCATTGCTAATTTACAAAAAATGAGTGTTATTTAATGTTTTATATAAAATAAGAGATTTTACTCTACGTGGGATAATAGGGCTACTGGCGAACAACCCACTTAAAAAATGTAGCGCTCCCATTGCACTACCTCAAGGAAGGTGAGGAAATGTACCCGTTTGATTACAACGCGTAGGTTTAAAGTTTTTTATTTCAAGCCTCCTCTGCCAAAGATACCACGAGCCACCACTGGTCTGAAGTGAAATACCATTCATTAAACTACAAAGTGTTTGTTTCTGTGTTTCAAGCCAAATTTATTTGAAAGGATATTTTTCTTAGTGGCTTAAATGAGCTACAAGATCCTCAGATTCATTTTATTTTCTAGATGTCTCATTTGACTGCTGACAGTGCTGACTGATACCCACCTATTAACCTTAGATGTAAAACACCACAAGGTTTGTTTTGGTTCCGACAGATATCGGTCCAAATTAGTTGACCATATTTCTTTTATAAGAACCACTAAGCGAAAACTTATTGACAATATAACTATACTTTCACAACTGTGGTTATAGGTATATTCTGGACCCTTCTAGGACTATCCGCTGACAAAACCAAAACAAACCTACAGATTCGCAACTGTGGATAATGATAGGTAATAAGAAATAACACATTAAATTAATAAAACATTTTTATTAACGATTCTAAAATAATCCTTACAAAGTCTTTTAAATAGTGTAAGAAAAAATGCAGCTCCATATTGTGGTAGGATGATCATTTTGAAACTATAAAACTATTTATTTTTTATACAGAGCTAAAATAAACCAACATTGCAGTACTGGCACTGGTAACGGAAAATACCTAAATCTAGGCAATATTAATGATTCGTTTACAATGAACAGTAACAAACCTTTACGCCTACGCTCGAGATAAAGTGATCGCTGATTGGTTGAACTGTATTAAAAATATGGATAAATTAACAGTAAAGATTTCTTGAGCTGAAACTGTAATATTTAAAGTTGATTTTCTCAGGGAGGTTTAGCACATGCTCAGTAGTTTCTTGTTCCCATTTGACTGTTAATAGTTTTCGCGCTGATTTGTGTAATGTCTATGCATTCTCTACAAAATTTATTTATTTGTTGTGGTATGCTAAGGAAAGTGTTTCCTATTTCAAAAAGTCATGTCTGTGTTCGCTTTGTAGAAGCATGACTAAAATGTAAATTTTTTAAATGAGTATTTTTGCTCCCTGAGAACAAGCAACTTGGCTGAACATTTTAAATATATAATAACAAACCAAATTATAATTTCAAAAATAAAAGTGTAATATTTATGATAAATAATAAAAATTAGGTATTAAAATTAATGATAGTGTGGAAGTAATTTGTGCGTCACAAATTAAAATTTCGCGTTCATAATGCCGCTATGGAGAGAGAATACAGTAAGTATTCATTCACATGAACGTTTTTTCTGATCAGTAGCATCATCGATACCGACTGGGTATTGCTCGTCAGTCTATTGTGAAAATACAAGATTAAAAGTAGAGGATCTTTAATAATCTGGATACTACTACAATGGAACGACTGTTCCGCGAAAAAATGCGCGAGTGAAAAAGAGTTCAATATAGATATGCTCAAAATAGTTGCAAATAAGTTGAATTTACTCCATCTCTGTTTAATATGATCAAATATTATGTCACATTTGCTATATTATGGCGGTTTTCCACTAAACGGACAGTTGTGTTTGTGTGTGTTTCCTAGAACAAAACAAAAACAAAACTGAAACAAACACAAAACTCTCGTTTCCATCAAGCGGGCTACATTTTGTTCGAGTTTTGTTTTTGTTTTCAGTCCGATGGATACCTGGGAAACCGCTTTAAGGATTTTTTTTGAAATTGTGATGGTGTGATACGGACAGTGGGTCCCACCAAGTTAAAATATTTTCAAGGTCATCGTACTTCCGGTTACACCGGAAGTCGATACTAACTTTCTTATTTTAAATGGTATAACTATTATTGCATTTTTGGAAACATCATCCATTTTTAAGTTGAAAACATATAGCACACTCCATACTTAGGATTGACCGTTTCCGCGATATTTCGATTTTTAAACAAAAATCGACAGATGCAGACTGTCAGCAAAATTTAGTTTTCCCGGTTTATTTTTTTTGTGTAAATTGGACATTTTGTAGAGAAAGACCTACTTTATCGAATTTGACATGAAAATTTTCCAGTTTTTATACAGGGTGGCCAAATTTTTTTTATCGAATATGAAGTTCAGAATATGTGGAAAACTCGAAATTTTTAAATGAAAACCCCTAATTTTTTGCAATAATATACAGGGGGTTCCATTTAAAATAAGAAAGTTAGTATCAACTTCCGGTATAACCGGAAATACGATGACCTTGAAAATATTTTAGCTTGGTAGGCTCCATAGTCCGTATCACGCTATCACAATTTAAAAAAAATCCTTCGGGCGGTTTCCCAGATATCCATCGATGGAGTTCGTGGTATATGTACGGTTAAAGTGTTTACTTGGTTAGTTTGTATCCTAGCCAAGTAAAGACTTTAACCGTACACATACATATTTTTTAATAGCTATAATTCATTAATGATTAAAATATTGTTTTTGGGAAGAAGAAAACGCCAACATAGATATTGGGTTGGATCATTTAAATAGAAAACACAACACCACCGTTTCCACTAAACAGACTTGAGTTTCAAAACACGTCGAAACCTTTTGATGTGACCGCTTTCGAGCGGGACCCGAAAAGCAAAACTCCAACTGTCGCAAAACACGCCAATCTTCAAAAAGTTTGTGAAAAGTTACAGTTTTGTTTTAATCGACACAAGTTTGTGTTTTGTTTTGGTTTTATTCGATTAGTGGAAAACCGCCTTTTTGAAGCGGAACCCGAAAAACAAAACTGCAACTGTCGTAAAACACGCCAGTCTTCAAAAAGTTTGCGAAAAGTTACAGTTCTGATTTATTCGACACAAGTTTGTGTTTTGTTTTTGTTTTGTCCGTTTAGTGGAAAACCGCCTTTATGGTTCCCTATTTGACTCAATAGCTGGACAATTTTCCACAAAGATGGTGAGGAAGTTTCCAACAGTGTTGGCCATCCTTTGATTACGAATTACGAGGTACAAGCTACTGCATATGAACAGAGTTATTACAGCTACTAGATGAAAAGTAACATCTTCGATGATGCCATATTGTTCAATGTTTCGGACACTAGGAAACAATTGTTAAATCTTATTATAGATAACAAATTAATTCAAATCCGATTCATCAAATTTGATCCTATTTATGAAATTTATAAAGGATACCTACCTCATTTCTGTCCATAAAAAAATATAGTTAGGTGAATATTGTCGGAAATTATTAAAATAATTGTTAAACAGTCTTATTTAAATTGACATCTTTATTGATTTAATCATTTCTTAAAGAATAATATAAAGCTAAGTAAATTTCTCTTGTCTCGCACGAAGTGATGAAGTTCCCGATTAAAAAGAAACATCTTTTTCAACAACCACCATATTATTACAGAAAGACTTACATTTAAAACTTAACGACTACCTTGTATTGTATCAATGTCAGTTTCTAAACATACTGTGGAACTTCTACATGTTCCCGTGGAATAAGTCTTGTTCTTTCTGAATCTGTGTTAGCCACAACTACACCGTTTCTGTTTGGAGGAAATGGTGGTTTACTTCTTTGATCCCTTAATTGGACGAAACATCCTGTCACCACCAAGACTACCCACCCTATGGAGTGCATAATATCTGGAAAGTATTTGTACATGGTGTAATAGCCAGGTCAAAGGTAACCTTCTTATAAATATGAACCCCCATGCAAAGTATATACCTGTTTAACATTAGTACTTAATAAAGGATGTTCAAATTTGAGTTAACTCTTTAATTTTGCCGCCATTTGTGTTTTTTGTACTAGAAAGGTTTTGTTTTTTTGACAGCTGTTAAGTAGAAACATGGCGGTTAATAAATATGGAGAAGTATACGAATGTTAAAAATTGTTTTAAATTTGGTGAGTTATTCAGAAGTTGGAAGAAAATATCGTACAGAATGTGGAAAAGCGAATTGTCCCACAAACAGCACCATTCGAAATATTATGAATAAATTTGAAGAAACTGTTTCAAGATCAAAGAAGAAAAATTTACAGTTGTAATGGTCGTTTAGAAGATATTGCAGCTGTCAATGATAGTGTCACTGCAGAACCAAACACATCAATTCGTTATTTAGTTCACATCAATTAGGCAATAAACAAACCACTTTATTCTATATTTTGCATAAGGATCTTCATTTGAAGACTTACAGAATACAGTTAACACAAGAATGTTATTATTACCAACTAAACATGGATTAGTCGTACATTTGTTAATTGAACTCATGCAGTGAAACAAGAAAATGATTTTTTTACATAATCATTTTTAGCGATGAAGCTCATTTTGAAATTGGTGGATATGTAAACAAACAAAATTGTCGTATTTGGGGTGAAGAAAACCCCTGAGTAATATTGGAACAACTAATGCATCCACAAAAAAGTCTGGTGTGGTCTGGTGGAGTTATTGGTTATTCGAAAAGGAAGCTGAAAAAGTTGTTTCTGTGTGTGTGGTACTCCATATCGAATGGTGATAGCGTATTAATGTACAGAATATGTGCTGTCAATAGAACGGTGCAATATGTCATATAGCAATCGATTTTTTGAAACAGAAGTGTGGTAATCGAATAATTTCACGAAGAGATGTTAATTGGCCACCAAATTCATGCGATCTATGACCAGTAGATTCCCTTTTATGGTTTTTTAGCAAAGTTTATGCTGACAGTCCTCAAACTATACAACATCTGAGCAAATTTTTCAAATTGAATCACTATTACGAGAATACGTGATTGAAGATTGAAGCCTTATAGAGCTGCAAGAGGTGGTCACTTACTCTTTTCCATTATTAACCGTAACATATCTACTTTAATATTCAATAAAGGTATAGTATTTCAAATAAATTATGTATTTTAGTAAAAAATTAAAAAGTTAACTCAAATTTGAACACACTCTATATTTGGAAAAATTAAATGTTAAATCAAACAGAAATTGAACAAGACGCAATCTTTCAATGTAAGCAACGTTTACATGATACTTATTAGTACTTAATAACAGAGGAAGAAATAACGACTCAAACACCCATTCATGCAATGATTTAGGGACATGTAAAGGCATCAATTGAAAAATACATACCAATAATCTCAAAAGGTGGAGAGATAACGGCGTTACTGAAGTTCCATACCGTTGCCCTTCGGTAGGTGTTTATGACGATATATTGCAAGTTTCCACCTAGATAGTAGTTCAAGGCTATGAAGAAAGCGTAGGAACCCAAAAAACTACAGCCAAATATATGACTGTACATAGACATGGGTGTCCAGATGATAGAACAAGCTACCATTATGCATACAAACGTAACCCAAAATACTAAATTGCTACGATAGATGTAAAAATCCGCTGAAAGAAATATTAATTTATGAAATGGTAACCTATAATTTTACTTTTACAAAATTGATGTGAAATATAAAAGTAAAATGATAATTAGGGACACTTTTTTCATATTTGTGATCCATGTTTTTCCAAATAATGCTAACAATAATAACTCTAATTATCTAAAGGAAACAATTAAATACAAACAAGTCAAAAAACACAATAATTAGACTATGAAATAATAGTGAATATACAGGGTGTCACCTAACGAATATTACCTACTTTAAGGGTATAAACTAGAACCAAAATGGTATCGATTTAACTAAACTTGCTTAAACGAAAAATGTCGCAAAAAAGTTACAGGGTGTTAAAGTTTCTTTTTTTATTTCTTGTTTTCTCCTTAACTCAGAACCCAATTAAACGATTTTAGCAAAATTTGCTGTTGCTTAGTTTCTCTTCAAGAGGTATGAAGTGATTATGTTCCTATTAGATTAAATCATACAGGGCGTTCATTTTACTACAACCCTTTGTGAATATTTTTCTGCAACTTTTTGTACGCTTTAAAATTCTATACGCAACTATCAGAAATAGGTAGGGAATTTTATTCTACACAAAAAATGTATACCTATCAAAAGTCGAAATTATGCTCGGTTATGAAAATATTACTAAAAATATTTATTAACACATGGGTATGTGTTAATACATATTTTTTGGAAATAGAAATAACTACGTATCCATAACAACATGACAATTTCAATGAGTCACTGTCAAACATAGTCTAAGATCTAATAGTATTATTATATTAGATCTGTGCTGTAAAGTTTGTATTTTGCAAAAGTTTGTTTCTGAAAATGCCTCGTCACAATGAATTTACGAATTAAGAGAACATATGAAGAACACGGAGAACATTTATTATAAATTAGTAACTTTTTATTACTGCCACTTTTCTGTTTTTATTATGTTATTAAATATGTTATTTATTATGTTTATTATGGAAAAATATGCTTTAATATTTTCTGTAATATTTTCATAACCGAGCATAATTCCGACTTTTCTCTACCTATTTTTGAAAGTTACGTGTAAAAATATAAACGTACAAAAAAGTTGCTGAAGAATATTTACAAAGGGTTGTAACAAAATGAACGCCCTGTATGATTTAACCTAATACGAACATAATCATTCCATACTTCATGAAGAGAAACTAAGCAACAGCAAATTTTGCTCAAATCGGTTAAGGACAAAACAAGAAATATAAAAAATACTTTAACACCCTGTAACTTTTTTGCGACATTTTTCGTTTAAGAAAGTTTGGTTAAATCGACATCATTTGAGTTCTAGATTATACCCTTAAAGCATGTAACATTCGTTAGGTGACATCCTGTATATTTTATTGTTCTGAAGAATCAGCAGTAGGTATGGTCTATTTACGATAAGTTTGCAATGACGTCACATTTAGTAATTAAGTGTAGCCGATAATCCTAAATTCCTGTTCTACATCGCATTAACTCTCATTAAACTAGAAAATTTTATTGTTTTCACTGCACTGAATTAAAATTAATAAAATTAATTAATCGATCGACAGCTGATATACAGGGTGTAACGGATGCTGATGGCCAAACTTCCGGGGGTTATTATACAAGTAATTTTCAACAAAAAAGTAGTATAAGATATTTTTAGAAAGTAGATAGTTGCTCTTTTATGTAACATTATTTGATTTCAAAAAATTTTGTGCCTTTTTTCATAAAAACAAAAATATCTCTGTTATTCTTACAGCCACAACAAATTTAAACATACCGTCGGAAAGAGCGTTAAATTTACTACAAGATGAGCATATATGAGTGTTTAAAAAATCTTCTATACCAGGTGCTGTAAAAAGTTAAATGTAATAATTGTGAAATGAGCAAAATTAGTGGTATCTCCTTATTGGTGATAACGCCAAAAATTTGTTAATGAGGACGTGTTTTTTCTTCAGCAAAAACTACTGTATTTAGTAAGCTCTTCAACGATATATCAACTTTTGAGTTTACTATTTTTTTTTGGCAACAATATCAAGGGCAAAGGTAATAAACACCGTAAAAATCGAAAATACACAAACTTTATAGTACTTTATTTTTATTTTAAGACTGCTTTTTTAAATTAAAGTAACAAAATTGTTGAAAAAATTATTTATAACTTAGTAACATATTTACAATGACTTAATAATTTTCGATGTAACCTCCCCCTTGACGGATACATAAAGCGCACCTTCTCCGCACGGAAGCAACTGTGCGACGCACTTCTCCATTTTGCTGTCGAAGTAGCTCCCAACAAGCAAAAATCCTTTGTTCGAGCTGTTCTCGAGTTTCAATTGGTACTTCATATACCAAAGATTTTAATCTACCCCACCAAAAGAAGTCTAACGGAGTTAGATCAGGACTTCGAGGAGGCCACCTAACTGTACCAAAGCGTCCTATCCATCTATCTTCATAATGCTCGTTTAGCCATGCGCGAATCTCCCTGCTGTTATGTGCAGGGCAACCATCCATTTGAAGCCAGGAATTAATCCGAAAATTTAAAGGAACCTCTTCTAATATATTATGCAGTTCGTTCTGAAGAAGATCAAGAAATG